TATTATTTTAAACTTTAATTGAAAAAAATTATTATTAATATGAAAAATTTTAATTATTCATATATTTATTGTATTGAATAATTAAAAATGTCAATAACCTACTCCAAACAAAATGTTTTTCTATTTGTAGCTTTTCTTTCATTTTTATTTTTATAATTTGATTAATAAAAATTTGTCAGTACTCTATTACTATAGTAAGAATAAGTTAGATTAGACTTTGAGTACATAAGTTAAACCTATTTTATAAAATTGAGGTTTAAATGTGGTATATTATTTAGATTTTTTTATTAATTTACTTTGATATTTTCAAAATCTTAATATGACCTATTAATCTATTAAAAAAATATTTTATATTAATAATATTAAGTAAACTCATAAAATTAATTTTTTAAATAAGTCAATAAATAAGCATTTGAATCTTTCTTTTTAATTTGCATGATAAAAATAATTTTTTATTATTAAAATTTTAAATTTTAAAAATAAAAATAGCATAAAAGAGACATGCACGCACATGCTGTAATTAAATAATGTAATTTTATCTAAAACAAACATTTTATATATTCTTTATATTCCATTTGTAATATTCTCAATAATCAATCATAAAGATGAAGAAAAAAAATATATAAAAATATAGTTAGTAAAATTTTTATTTTTTATTTATGAATTTCTTATGAATAGAAAATATTAAATGTTTGAGTATAGTAAAAATATAAAAGATATAGGTAATTTCATTTTTATTATAAAACTATTTATTTAATTATATTATTAATAATAAAATATATATAGTAATTTTTATTATATATGATATTGATAAATAGATTAACCTAGTTATTAAGTCTAACAAAACTTTTTTTAATAAGTTTAAGTCTATTTTTTTTATTAAAATATAATTTTTAAACAAATCAGATCATATATCCCTATTTAACGCATGTCTTATTTCTATCCTTACATGTTCGTTAATAAAATAATAAATTTTCTTTGGTGATTTTAATTTTTTTTTTGAAAAAATTGTAAAAATATTACATAATTATTAGAATAATCTTAACATAATAAAAATATACATTTATGAACAATATATAAAATTAAGTATTAAATAATTATTTTAAGATTCCTATTGTAGAAAAAAAAATGTATTTTGACAAATAAAAATATAATTCACTCTGAAATACAATCAACAACAATATAATCCTTTAATAATTGTGATAAAAGATAATTACTTATAGTAAAAAATTTTAATATTAGATGTACATTGAATTTTTATTTAATGAATAAATTTAATACAAAATATAGATTAATTTAATTTAAAGTTCTTCATTGATTAAAATGAATTAAGGCAAGTAATTTCAAGAAATAATAGAATCAAAATTTATTTACATGTATAATAAATTAATTTAAACCATTTTTACTATATAGATAAATAAACAAATATAAATATAGATTATTCATAACTTAAATGCGTCGCCATTGTGGGATGAAAAAATTTATTAATTAAATGAATAGTTTTAGGAGCGAGTGTTGATCAGCCATAGTTTTCGAAACTTTATTTTCACTAATTTGTTACAAGTAGTAGCGCGAGTAGCAAACGGATATGATAATCGCGAGAGTAGGATTGAATTGAAATTCACAAAAAATACAAAATATCTCTGACAATCATGAGAGTGAGAGGGAGATATTTTTGAGATTAATGAAGAAAAGAAAACAAAATATTTAGCATTAAAAATCATTTTGTTATCTGTTGTTCAAGAATCCAATGCATAAATTTATTATTTTTATTTTTAAATATGAGGTAAAATATTTTTTAATTTTTTTAATTTTATTGATTTTACCTTTTAATCTTTATGATTTAAAATAAATATTTTTAGTTTATATACTTGTATATGTTAATTCTTTTAATCTCTATTTTTAATTTTTTTTATAACATTATTAGTTTTTATAAGTGGAATGAGCTTATTAAATTTATGTGACAGTAATTTATTTAATTTTGTTAAAAATAATGTGTCCCTCAATGATTTAAAGGGAAAGAAAATGAAGAATTTGAATAATTTTGTATAAAATCAATATTTAGAATGATCGAATGAGATATAAATAAATAGTCAAATTATTGATGATTATGTATCTCATTAAGTGGTACATCTCCATAATATATGGCCGCCATGTGAATTTAATATACTCATGTCATTTATAATAACAAGTCACTATACTTAATATAGTACAATTACTAAGTGTGTGTTTAGATTTCAGTTAAAAAAGTTAAATTTAGTTGAATTTAATTTTGTAAACTTAAGTTTAGTATAACTTAATTTATGTTTGGATACTTTTATTCTAAAAGTATTTTATTGAAATGAAAGTTGTTTGGATAATATTAATGAAAAGTACTTTCATATGTATAACTACTAAAAGTTTAAAAAGAGTATATATTTTTATAATGATAATAATATTATTTATTTTGTCATTTTTAGTATATTTGAATTGATGAAAAAACTTTATTGTTATTATTTTATATTTTGATATTAATATTATTAGTTAAGCTTATTTTTAATAATTTTTTGTTGTTAAAAAATCAAATAAAAATGAATACAAGACTGAATTAAGTACAATAGGAAAAGAGAATTGAGAAACGAAATTTCTCGTTCAATGAAAAAGCAACATAGGTGTTGTTTTGGATGCAATGTATGTTTTGAAGATAATGAAG